GAGAGAGATAACACTGATACCTTCCCTTATCCCATTTTACATTTTCATGACATACAAGTCCATGTTACAACTCATTTTCCATTCCTTTCAGTTCTCAAATTACAACCATGGCTCAGACCTGGCCAAACAACCCGTATGAGCAGTAACTCATATCAAACACTTCCCCATTTCATATAGATAAGCATACTGCTATACACACAACAACAGATACGCATACAAGCTATATCATCACTTCCATAGATATGCATATGAGCACTATCACACTTCCAATGACAAGCATATGAGCTCTGTCAACACATTAATAGATAAGCATATGAGCTCTATCTTATGGAGTCCATCCCCTATCTCCTCCCAACACATTCGGTTTAGAGGTCCATCCCCTATCTTCCCTAAACCGTGGAGTACATCCCCTATCTCCTCCAACACAACACAATGCATAAAACAACAATTATACACATCATCACACAACATAATAATTTAATGTATTCTTTCAATCGTCAATCTCAATGACACATTCCAGTGATTAGTTACATTTGCCTAATCATCATGCATTGTCTACAACAATCTCAACTATCCTCCACCGATAGCCCAAAGCAGTTATTTCTATACAGAAAATAATTGCAACAATGGATATATAATCAACATTTCAACTAGGTGAGTGATAAAATAATCCAACTACACCCTCTAACCCCTTCCCTTTTCATTTTCCACATTCTCAATTCAATTCCCTATTTCCAACAATTAATTATACAAATTAATCAATCAATGTAATTAGGGCATTTTCCAATAATTAACATTACAACCCTTAGGTTCCATTTTCATTAATGTTTCAACATTAATTCCACTTTCCCATGCCAAACATACATTTAGGTCTTATGTAAATAAAAACCAACTTTTGTAAAATTTACGCAAAGGCCCCAAACTTTCACAAAATTACCAAAACCTTCCCCAACATCTCAAATACTAAAATTTAAAGACAAAGCTCATAATAAGGAGTAGGTTATCCCTACCCTCGAAGTTAGAGCTCGGATAGAGAAGAGACCAAAACAAAGTGCTCCAAAGACCGAGATATTCAGATCAAAACGACGCCCTCGACGATCAACACAAACTTTTACAAAGGCCGAAGAGAAGGAGAACACTCTAACTATAGATCAAACCCTAGAGAGAAGGGAGTATCTAGAGAGAGAGGCTCTCAAAAATGGTTTTTAGAAAAAGTAGGAGAGAGAAAGAAAAAGCAAAAGGTGATTTGAAATCACCCAGCGGATAGCTCATATGCCGTTATGGCTTATATAACCATGTAATTAATAAAGTCAAAAATAAAATAAAGTAATAATAATAAATAATGACTTATGAAAAATCAAGTTGCTACATAATCATGACAATTAAAAGAAAATATAACGAAAATTACTAAAATAACAATATAACAACTATTAAAATAATTTTAACAATTTTAATAGTTTAGGTGACACTCAAAATTTGACCAAAGAGATTTTCTTACTGCCCGCTAACTCATGGCCACAGTTAATTGAAAAACTTCCCCTTGGTCAAATATTCAAGTGTTTCTAACTGTAACTACCAAAGATGCCTACACCCAAAGTTATATACCTAAACCGTGGCATCTAAGGTCTGCCTCAAAGGAACGGTCTGCCAGGGGTACGTAACCTCCCTGTGTACCACCCACACATCCACCATTATCCCAAAACCAAATATCGATAAGGGTTCAAATAAGTCTCGTGCCATCTTAAGACTTTGCAACACAATTATGTAAAAATTATCAAAAACCAAGGCTCACCCTAAACTACCGGTATTAACCCTCAAGTGTTAATTTGTACATGTCGTTAATCATTTTAGTTAGTCTTTACAAATTTCAATCACCATAAGTGTTATACCATTTCATTAAAATTCCTAACAAAAAATATTACGCATATGTTATACAATAATCAATCAATGTACAAAATTATAATAAACAGTTAAATTAAACCATAGTATGAAATAATAATTTTAAATACTTAAAAATGAACCACAATAACACACATGCATGGGCTACTAATTTACAAGATTTAATTAATTAGACTAGCACAATATTTATTTTTGGTCCTAATAAATAATTGAAGTAATAATCTTGGTTCCTTCTCAATCTGCCCAGAAAATTTCAAAATATACTCTTCGTAATTAAAATTGTAAATAAATTATTTATACAATTTTAAAATTCATGGAATTAAATGGAATATTCAAAAAACATGTTATGGTCATTTTTCAGAAATAAATTCCCAAAAATAAGTTATAAATAATTTTGTAAAAATTCAAGAAATTTCATGACACAAATTCGTCACATTTTCTTAAAATAATTCCACACTTAAATTTATAAATCAATTCCATAATCTAAAACTTTATTATGAAACTAGACTTCTCAAATTTCATATTTTATTTAGAAATTACTAGATTTGATTTAATATAGGATTTTTAATAATTTTTCAAATATGCAATAAAATCTATCTACAGTTTCAGATTTAATTAAAATTTTGTATAAATTCGTACAAAATTAGAATAATTGTTACAAAAATTCCTAGATGAACTAGACATCATTCTTAACAACTTTGTAAAAGAATCATCTCAAAATTTTGAGTATTAAATTGTCTAAAAATTTGTAAAAGTTTCTGACAGATTAAAGAATCATATAACCAAATCTAATAAAATCTTTAATCATCTCTTTAATGGCACAAACTATACATGAAAGTCTAATTCTAAATTTTCACCATGATTTTAAGGATACTAATAACCTTTAAATATTTAATATACAAATCGCAAAATTTACATACAACTATAAATAAAATTCTATCTACAATTTTAGTCATTTTATCACATGAATACAATCTAAAAATTTCAACAATTAAAAAAAAATGAGAGAGTTGAAAGGGTTTTCTTACCTAATAGTAGGATTGAAAGGGGGTGCTGAAATGGTAGGAAAAAAAATTATAAACTCATGATCTTCTATTCTTTTTCTTAGCTTAACTCATAGAATTTTTTATTTTTTATTTTTTTTACTCTTCTCTGATCAGTTTGAGGAGAAGGATGCAAATTGTATGTATTTATATTGGCCTCTCACCTGAGTCTCTCTCTCTCTCTCTCTCTCTTCTAATCATTCTACTGAGTCCCATCGTATTTCCTAAATCTAGCACAATTGATGGCCCTATCTCCCTACTAGTACATGCATGCATACAAGTGTATTGCCACTGAATTTCTGATTTATTTATGTTGTGTATTTGTATGAATTTCTTAAAATTAATTAACTAAGGTTTTCAACTAAGATATTTAGTAAGGATAATTATTATGTTGAATCCTTGTTAAAATAAATTATAAACAAAAAATAATATTGAATATCCGCAAAATTATTATTCTTAACAATGTTTTGGTTAGTGACTGAATTGGATTAATTTAAAACTAACTTATACACTAATATATATTTTATATAGACTCTGGATAAAATCAATTTATTTATTTATTTATTTATTTATTTTCTTTTAAGAATAATTAAATATGGGTTCTCACAATTATGCAAGTCAAACACGTATATATTCTCATGTTTATGACCAATAAACAAAATTTTACTATCTATGATGCTTTGAATTGTGCAGTGTGATTTATCAAAAGTAACTTTATTACCTTTGTCACATAATTGACTAATGGTAAGCAAGTTATAGTTCAAACCTTTAACAAGTATGATATTTTCTACAATGGGAGAAGGACTTTTACCAATATTACCTATACCAATAATTTTTTATTTACTATTGTTGCCAAACGGTACATGCCCTCTGTTCTTTAGTTGAAATGTGGCGAACATGACTTTATTTCTGAGCATATGCCTTGAACATGCCCTGTCGAGATACCATCTATTACTATTGGATTTTGTCTTGAAATATACCTATAAAAATTTAATTTTTCTATTAGTACCCATACTTTCTTGGATCCATAAAAGTTAGAATTTGACACACTTAAAGTATCTTTAGGAACCCACATTTTTTTTTTAATTTTAGCTAAAAGAATTTCTTCTAACAGGATATGTAGGTAAAATATGATATTTTCCACTACAAAAATGACATGTGAGATAAGAGTGTCTAGAAAATGCATGAAAAAAGATCATTTTTGAAAGTTTTTTCTTTTGAAAAAGGTTTATACCCAATTCTGACTCTACCAAATATATGATTTTGAATTTTAAGAAGTTTATTCAAAATATCTCTTCCTTGCGTAAATTTTGAAAGAATATTTTTCAAATCTTCTATATTTTAGTTCAAAACAACTTTCACTTTTTTTAAAGAATAATTTTCGATTTTCAAATCATTTAGTTCTTTTTCAAAATAGCAGATTTTTTATATTTTAAAATGTCATTTCTTATTTTATCTTTGAAAAATCTTTTTGTAACACTTCAATTTTATTAGATAAATATTCTTTCTTTTTTTATTGAACTTGAAAGCATCTTTTTAAGAGCAATATTTTTAATGCCAAGTTTTCTAAGTTCATCATGCAAATCTTCAAACGCGGATTGTAATTCATCAAAGAATAAGATTCGTTGTTTACCTCTTCAGCATCTCCAAATGCTATTAGGCATAGGTTAACAACTTCATTGTTGCTGCCATCATTTTCTGAGTTACTTTCATCGCTATCTTCCCATGCAGCAATCATGACTCTTCTTTTGTCTTTCTTGTATTGTTTCTTGATTTCTAGACAATCGGTTTTGATGTGATCGGGTTTGTTGCATTCATAACAAGTGATTTCAGTTTTCTTGTTGTTTTCTCTTTTTACAACATCCTTTCTGCTATGTTCTCCTTTGTTAAAATCTCTTTTGAAAAATCTTCTTCCTCTTTGTTTCTTTTTCATAAATTTCTAGAACCTTTTTGTTAAGAAGGCCATTTCTTCATCATCATATTTTGAATTATCTTTATCCTCTTCTTCACGAGTAGTAGTGGATTTGAAAGCTGTTCCTTTTTTTTTTCTTGTTATCTTCTTCTTCATCCCTTTCTTGTATGATGAGCTCATGCGTAAGATAAGATCTCATTAGTTCGTCTAGACTTAGCTTTGATAAGTCCTTGGCTTCCATGCTAGCGATGACTTTTGTCTTTCAACTCTCAGGTTATGATCTGAGCACTTTTCTTTCAATTTTAGAATTAGTTTATATTTTACTAAGAGATTTTAACTCTCAGGGAATGATCTGAGCACTTTTCTTTCAATTTTAGAATTAGTATATATTTTACTATGAGATTTTAAACTATTTATAATATCGATAAAATGAGTAAACATTTGATTTTTCAGCTCTCATAATTTGTAGATTGTGTGTGTATCGTCATCCTGATTTTTCAATAGCTAAAGTTTGTGCCGCTAAATAATGGTGGTCTATTGGATGCTTGTCTCTTAAGTAATGACCAGTTAGGAGTTGTCATAATCTACTCTAAGACATTTAAGTCACTAAAACTAGAGTTCTCTCTCTTATACCAATTGTTAACTCAGGTAGACAACCCAAGGGGGGGTGAATTGAGTTTCTAAATAAATTGCTAAATTAAAATTTAACCCAAACAATAAATAAATAAAAATGCTCAACAATATAAAATAGAGTAATGAAATAAAATGAGTAAAAGGAAAAGAAAGCAAACTCAACAATTTATAGTGGTTCAACACAGCCGGACCTACGTCCACGCCTCAAGTTCATCCTTGAGAATTCTTTACTATTCTTCAAATAGTAACTACACCACTAGCTTTATAACAATTCCGGTTTAGACCCGACCCTTTTTATGCTCTTAGATTCGGGATTCTGTACATTTAATTATTGTGTATACCCTTATTATCTTGTTGTTAGTTGAGTTTGGTTGTTTAGAGTTGTTGGTTGTGTTTAAAACAGGTTGGGAGTTAGTTTTTCCATAGAGTCATTATCCATTTCATTTCTTGTTCGCTCGAACGGTGCTTTGGTTGCTCGAGTAGTCTTTGAAATCTCTTGGTATTTTTTTAAGTCCATAAAACTTCTAGGAATAAGGTGATCTTCACTCGAGCGGTCTTTTCTTCATTCGAGCAGTCTTTTGTAGGTCTGAACTTTTGGGATAGGGTCATTGTGCGCTCGAGCGGTGTTTTAGTTGCTCGAGTAATGTCACTTATTGTATCTGACGCTTGAGCGGTGGTTTGGTTACTCGAGCGGTCTGTGCGTATATCAGATCGAGGAGAGGCCTTCTTCAATCACTTTTTCATCTCTCTCTCTCTCTCTCTCTTGCCTAAATACCTGAAATACACCCAAATCCTTTGATTTCTCCACCATAGTTGCTTGGAGAAAAATGTAGAACTCATTGAAAGTTTCGTTTTAATTAGAGAAGATTTTTTTTTTTTTTTGGCTTCATCAAATTTCAACCCTTGCTTTCTTCATCTTCTACTCTTAAGATAGGGATTTCTTCAACCTTTGGTATGATTCTTAGCTTGGTTATTTGGTCTTTAAAAAGGTTTAGTGATTTGGGACTTTTTGGTTTAAATCTAGGGTTTGATTTTGAAATGTAAAATAAAGATTTTTCAAATGAATTCTTGAGAAAGGTTATAGGGGTGCAAATGTTGTTAGGGCGAGATGAAATGTTGGAAATTGCTTCCTTAAATATGATTATTGAAAGTAAATGGTGTTTTCTTAGGAAATCATTGATTGTTTAATATATGAAAGAAAATGAAAAGATGTTGGATTTTGAAAAGATAGATGAATGCCTTTGTTGATGATGAAAGTGGAGTTGGATATGTATTATCGCTCCCATTTTGAAATTTATAAGATTATATCTGTTGTTGGAAAATTATCTGTTGAGTAGAAATATTTGCTTTGGTTTATCGGTGGAGGATAGTTTTGATTGTTGTAGAAATTGTATGAGGATTAGGTTAATTAAAATTAATTACGCATACATCTTGCATTAAGCACTATTTCATACTTAATATTAAAAATGGATTGTTTTAAGAAAAATGTGTGTATACCTTGGTGAATCTAGTTAGGAGGTGTGGTTGTGGTTTATTATGTTAGCTTGTGTATTCTTAATGAAAGTCCAAAAACTCACGCGGTTAGGTACCGATTCTTTCAGTTAGTACCAATAAAATGGCTTTGGTACTGCTTGTATAACCTACTGGCAGACACGTACCTAGAGATTCTAAGTGTTTTGTATCCAATGCCCTATTTTCTAATATAAAAGTATATTTTGTCATGAATTGACATAATATTGGCATTGCATTGTTTTGAGATAAAAAAGTGTAATGTTTGAAAAATGACATCCATATGCATTCACCTTACGACTTTGTTAAGCTTCATACATTGTGTTCAAGTATCTCTACTGGACTTTAGCTCACCTTACGTGGAAAACAACTTTCAGGTGTTGATGATATGCCTCCACCAAGGACATAGCTTGGGAGGACTTAGAGCCAAGAGCTTCTTTTTGTTTTTTCTTGTGTAATGATTTTTGTATAAACCTTAGGCTTTATATGTATTGAGTTTAACTCACTTTTGTTATACTTAAGTATTAACTTGGAAAGATATAACCATTAGGACTATAACGCCCCCAAAATAATTACAATAAACCAACTCCAAACACTAGTGCAATGTGATATAAATAACATCAGAAGCTTTCATTACTTAGAGTTAATATACAAAAAGTGATACATGTGATATACATTCATAAATCTTTCATCACGAATCTACAACATGTGTTACTAGATGTAATAAGAAATGAAAGCTAAACAGATAATCATATGCCCTAATGGATTACATCTTTCCAAGACCATGCTTGGTTACAACAAAATGAGTTATAAGCTCGATACAAATAAAGCCCTCGGCTTGTGAAAAGTAAATACAAAATAAACAAAAGTGAGCCCTTAGCTCCACAATTCTCCTAAGCTACGTCCTTGGCAGAGGCATATCACTAACACCTGAAAATGGTTTTTCCCAAATAGGGTGAGTCAAAGCCCAGTAGAAACAATCTAATACAATATATGAATCTTAACAAAGATATAAGTATAATGTGCATATACAATGTCTGCGATAAAATGATTCATAATTTACAAGATCATAGTATGCCAGGTTTTATATCTCATTTCATTGTTCATATCCATTTCGTTTAATCTCCCAATATTGAGAATATAACTCATCGGGTCTCAAATCAATATAGTTATCATACAAACACATTCATTCACCATTTTACGAAAATTTCATCCGTGAGATTGGCACCTATGTATACAAGCAGTTTTTGGGACTTTCACTCTGGACACACAGGCCAACTTAATTCACTGGAGTTCACCCCCTTCTCCATCCAAACATGAAGTACATCCCATTTCTTCTCCTAAACATCATACATATACAATGTATTAAAACACAGTCATATTCAATGAAAACCAATAAGAGATTAGTTTCAATTCACCTAATCCTCATGTAATTTCTACAACAATCATAGCTATCCTCCACCGATAGCCTAAAATAGATATTTCTAAACATATATACAATCTCTACGACAGATAAATTATCTAAATTTCCATAAGTGAGAGATAATACACATCCAACTCCACAATTGATATAAACATTCGTCTAATTTTAGATTTCCTATACCAATTTCATTGTTTATACAAAACAATTATTTTAAACATTTTAGGGCAAAACTTCATTCTCTCCCAAAACCAACCCATGTGTCAAAATCAACAATTTCAACACAACACATCCTCATGTCTATATCCATAACCATTTTCAATACCTTCATTTGAAAACTCCTCTTTTGATTTTAAACCAAAACCCTAGGTTTGTCTAAATCCTCCAAATCCTAACATTATTTACACCACAACAAATAACTAAGTTAAAATTCATAAAAGAGTGTAAAAAGTCCCTACCTCAAGCTTCGAAGACCAAGGAAGAAGTGGAGGAACTTCAAAGATGCCGAAATCAAGATCTATTCGGATCAAAATGGAGCTCTTGAGATGCTCTACCTTTTTTCCCAAGACACTAGAGTAGGGAAACCAATGGATCTAGGTGAAAATGTAGAGAGAAAGGGTCCCAATCTAGGGTTTAGAGTGAAAAAAATGTGAAAAAGTGATGTAAAAAGGTGCTGCTGTGAACTGATATACGCATAGTCCGCTCGAACGCAAGAGTTGACGCTTGAGCGTCAGACACAATAAGTTGTTCCGCTCGAGCGCAAGAAACGACGCTTGAGCATAGAATATACACTCCCAGTAGTTTTGCAGACAACAGACCAACGCTCGAGAGCAAGAAGGGCCGCTTGAGCTAAACCCACTCGAGCGTAGAATATATCCTTCCAATAGTTTTTCAGACCTTCGAAAGTATTGAGAATTCATAAAGGCCGCTCGAGCGTAAGAAATGCCACTCGAGTGTAGGAGCAAAATCTTAGGCAACAAAAGGGTTGAAAACTAAGCAACTAACCTGTTCTAAACATGTTCGATACAACCCAATAGCCAAACTCAAGTAAAAATAAACGGAGAAAGACATGGACAATATTCAGAAACCATAAAACCAGAGTCCAAAAAATCAAATGGGTCGGGTCAAAACCGGAATCGCTATAAGGACATAAACTTATCTGTACTTTCTTTTGTTCTAATTCATTTACAGATGACATACGCTATAGATTCATGATCTAGGATTTATGAACGTACACATGCATTTGTCATCTTTTGTACAATTA